CGACTCAAGACTGGCAATGATCAACGACAGGGTGCGGACCCCGGAAGGGCATTTCAATTGAAAAGAACACTATGTGCCCCGGAGGCGGGGAATCAACAATACTTTATCAGAAATGATAATTCGACAAAAGCAACAACAACAGCAACAACAACAGCAACATCTCCATCATCACCAGCACAGAAAACTCAAGGGAAATCCCACGCGAGAGCGCGATCCCTGTTCAACTTGTGAGAAAAAAACCCACACGAGAGCGCGATGTGGGAATAGTGTGAGGAAGCATCAGGCGGGAGCCACTGACGTTGTAAACTGGAGGGCCGTGGGCCCAGTATGAGCAGGAAGACTTCCCCTGCTAAACAACAAGGTGCGAGCCCCGAGGGGGGGCACTTCACTTGGAAAAACACAATGTGCACCAGCGGGGGGATCAACAAGCATTTAAAAAAAAAATGAGAATTAAATTATTTTAAAACTGTTCGCTCCTATCTGCTGGTGCTCCACTAAATACGTATATCCCGAAACACAAGTACCCGCCCTCTTCGTCTTCGAACGTACCCCTTTGTGGGGTATATCTTCCTCACCTGCCATGGGATTCCCAATTAAATCATTCGAAAAGCCAAAGCGAGGGTACGATTCCTGAATGTCGAGGGCGCGGCGTCTGAACATATTGTGAGGAAGTCCCACGCGAGAGCGCGATTCTTACATACATTGTGCAGAAATCCCCCGCGAGAGCGCGATTCTTACATACATTGTGCAGAAATCCCCCGCGAGAGCGCGATTTCGGAAGAAATTGTGAAGAAGTATCAGGCGGGAGCCGTTGTTGCTGTAGCCGGGGAGCCAGGGGCCCAGTTTGAGCAGGAACACCTTCCAGGATAAACAACAGGGTGCGAGCCCCGAGCGGGCACTTCAGCTGAAAAACACAATGTGCACCCGTGGGGGGGTCAACAAGAGTTATTTAAGAATGAGAATTCAACAACAACAACAACAGCAACAGCAACAGCAACAGCAACAACAACAACAACAATCACAATAACAACAAAGACAAAAACAACAACGACAACGTCGACGACGACGACGACCAACAGCCAACACCAAAACACAACACAACACACTCCAACATACTACAACAACCACAACCACAACCACAACCACAACCACAACCACAACAAACAACACAACAGCAACAACAACGACAACACCACTAACAAACACAACCACAACAATCATGTTGAAACTGTTAGCTCTTATACGCGTGCGTGTCAATCAGCATGTGTTTCTCAAGCCCTCGATGAGAGAGGATGGTGAGGAGGACGAGGAACGCAGGGTGCCGTCAAGGTCGGAAAAGGATCAGGAAGCGCATCGAGTCACCGTCGGGGGATGCCTGCATGAGCAGCGCTGGAAGCATCCAGCCGAGTAGGTCAAGCCCTCCGCCAGCGCCCGGAGGTCGCACTGACGGCTCTCATTCTCGCCGCAGGCCACGGCGCTGCGTCGCTCCTGAGCAGGGCTGTGTGGCGGTCACCAATCGCATCCTGTGTGCAGGTCAGGCCCCCCACCAGCGCCGCGCCGCAGGCCACGGCGCTGCCGTCGCTCCTGAGCAGGACCGCGCGGGCGCCTCCAACCGCAACCTGCGTGTAGGTCAAGCTCCCCACCAGCGCCGGGAGGTCACACTGACTGAAAATATTCCAGCCACAAGCCACGGCGCTGCCGGCGCTCCTGAGCAGGACCGCGTGATCGTTTCCAGCCGCAACCTGCGTGTAGGTCAGGCCCCCCGCCAGCGCCGGGAGGTTGCACTGACCGAGATCATTCCAGCCGCAGGCCACGGCGCTGCCGTCGGTTCTGAGCAGGGCCGCGCGGGCGCATCCAGCCGCAACATGCGTGTAGGTCAGGCCCCCCGCCAGCGCCGGGAGGTCGCACTGACCGTTCGCGATTCCAGCCGCAAACCACGGCGCTTCCGTCGCTCCTGAGCAGGGCCGTGTGGCCGCCTCCAGCCGCAACCTGCGTGTAGGTCAAGCCCCCCGCCAGCGCCGGGAGGTCGCACTGACCGTCGTCGTTCAGGCCGCATGCAACGGCGCTGCCGTCGCTCCCGAGCACGGCCGCGTGGCGACAACCAACCGCAATCTGCGTGTAGGTCAGGCCCCCCACCAGCGCCCGGAGGTCGCACTGACCTCTCTCATTCTCGTCGCTCCTGAGCAGGGCGGTGCGGGCGCCTCCACCCGCAACCCGCGTGTAGGTCAAGTTCCCCCACCAGCGCCAGAAGGTCGCACTGACCTTCACGATTCCGGCCGCATGCCACGGCGCTGCCGTCGTTCCTGAGCAAGGCCGCGTGGCGACAACCAGCCGCAACCTGCGTGTAGGTCAGGCCCCCCGCCAGCGCCGGGAGGTCGCACGGACCGTCATCGTTCAGGCCGCAAGCAACGGCGCTGCCGTCGCTCCCGAGCACGGCCGCGTGGCGACAACCAACCGCAATCTGCGTGTAGGTCAGGCCCCCCGCCAGCGCCGGGAGGTCGCACTGACCGTCATCGTTCAGGCCGCAGGCCACGGCGCTGCCGTCGCTCCTGAGCAGCCGCGCGGCCGCCTCCAACCGCAACCTGCGTGTAGGTCAAGCTCCCCACCGGCGCCGGGAGGTCGCACTGACCGATCTCATTTTCGTCGCTCCTGAGCAAGGCCGCGCGGGCGCCTCCACCCGCAACCCGCGTGTAGGTCAAGTTCCCCGCCAGCGCCGGGAGGTCGCACTGACCGTCACGATTCTGGCCGCATGCCACGGCGCTGCGGTCGTTCCTGAACAGGGCCGCGTGGCGACAACCAACCGCAACCTGCGCGTAGGTCAGGCCCCCCGCCAGCGCCGGGAGGTCGCACTGACCGTCATCGTTCAGGCCGCAGGCCACGGCGCTGCCGTCGCTCCTGAGCAGGGCCGCGCGGCCCCCCTCCCCCCCGAGCGGCGAACATTTGCCAGGGGCCGGGCGGGGGCAGCGCGTGGTCGAGGCGAGGCGCAGGAGCCCTGCGCGCGGGGGGCGCGGCTCAAGCCAGGACTCGCCCACAGCGCGGCGGGGTGGCGGGAAGGCGAGGCCTGCTCGCTCGCGTGCGTCCCCCCCAACAAGAATCTCTGTCCAGACTGGGTGGAAGGGCCAAGGCGTTTTTCACCCAGAGGGGGCGACGAACGTCTTAACCAAGAGGAGGCGACCGCCCACTCTGGTCGACGTTTCACCCACAACGGGAAAGCGACGTTCACCCGAAGACGGATCCCTGGATGGACGGGTTCCCCCGGGGCCGTAGGCGACCCGGGGGGGGGGGGGGGGCGAGGGGGGGGAGGAGGAGGAAGAGAAGAAGAAGAAGAAGAAGAAGAAGAAGAATAATAAGAAGAAGAAGAAGAAGAAGAAGGAGACCGGGGAGGAAAAAAAGGAGGAGGAGGAGGAGCATGAAACATGAAGCTGAATTGGCGGACCCCAGGTGCACGCCTGGCCGCGCGCAGCACTCGCCAGTCAAATGGGAAAGTCACGAACGCGCGGAAGCCGCAGGCGAGGATGACAATGATGAAGTACGCCCGCGCGAATGCCTCCCGCCGCGCGTAATTAAAACTGCCACTCCAGCAATGCCCCAACGGTATGTGGCGAGCTCACGCTTCTTGCAACAACCCGCGAGAGAAATCTATACTACACGCACCGTGAAACACCCAGCTGGAATACTGTACCAACGCCGCCAGCCATGACCACCGCACTCACAACGTCGCGTAGACAAAACGCGAGCGTACATGATGAAGAAACCGCCAGCACCAGCACGACAACGAAGAAAAGCCAGGATGCGAATGACACGCAGGAAGCCTAGGCCGTATGCCATCCACACCGCGACAAACACACTTGACTCCACCTGCCGCCGATAAAGCACAAAGGCACACCAGGCCCTGGGCGAGGGGAATGCTAGCCGACACGGCTCGTCTTTCGAGCCCTGCAAACAAATTGCGCTGAGCCACTCCCACCAGAAAATCAGTTGAACAGAAATCAATCCAGTAGAAATGGCCCAGCCCCGAAGGAAAACGCTTCGAAACATACCATCATGATCACACCGTGCACCTGCACGCCCAGCAGCCCGCCAACCAAGAAGCACAGCCCCATGAACACGAGGAAAACCGCATGGAAAACGAAGGGCTGCAGCGTGCACGCGAAATGTGAGGCATGCGAATTCAAACCGGCGTTGCCAGGAGCCCCTGGGCCTCAAGCGGCAGGGAGCGGCGCACCACCCCACATGAAGCCCTGGGACGACGGCCGAGCGGCGCTGCGGGGGCCCACTCGACCCGACGTGGCTTGAGGAGGAGGAGGAGGAGGAGGAGGAGGAGGAGGAGGAGGAGGAGGAGGAGGAGGAGGAGGAGGAGGAGGAGGAGGAGGAGGAGGAGGAGGAGGAGGAGGAGGAGGAGGGAGGAGGAGGAGGAGGAGGAGGAGGAGGAGGAGGAGGAGGAGGAGGAGGAGGAGGAGGAGGAGGAGGAGGAGGAGGAGGAGGAGGAGGAGGGAGGAGGAGGAGGAGGAGGAGGAGGAGGAGGAGGAGGAGGAGGAGGAGGAGGGAGGAGGAGGAGGAGGAGGAGGAGGAGGAGGAGGAGGAGGAGGAGGAGGAGGAGGAGGAGGAGGAGGAGGAGGAGAGAGAGAGGAGGAGGACGGGTCGCCTAAGCCCTTCCGAGAAACCCTCCGCCCCTGGACCCTCCGCGCCCGCCCGTGGTGGTGAGAGCGTCCCAGAAGCGCCCTCATAAACGACGGCCGTCGTCGAGGGATGCTGCCCACCTCCAGACGCCCGCGACGTTTCGATGCTTCTCGACGCGTGGGCCCCAGGACCTCTCGACCCCTTCCCCGGCTTCCCGAGCTACCCGCGACGCTTCGATGCTGTTCGACGCGTGGGCCCCAGGACCTCTCGACCTCTTCCCCGGCTGTTAGAATCCCGAGCTGCTCCATGGAGGAAGATCAGTCGGGCTGCCAGCTGCTGCAGGACTTGCAGCAGGGCGAGCGTGAGGGAAAAGAAGGACGAGGAGAAGGCGGAGGAAGATAAGGGAAGAGTGGAGGCGAGCCCTCCCCCCGCGTCACGCTGCGCCGCGCCTTCTTATCTGGCCGCGGTCGGTCCGCACGACCGCGGGGCATCGGCTCAGCCGGGCAGGCCGGGCGCGAGGGCGCCAGCGACCGTCTCCCAGGCCAGGGCGCTGCTGAGCAGCTGGCAGCCGGGCAAAACCGCGTCCACCCCGCCAGGGGTCCTGGGGCCCAGCCTGCCCGCCCGATGCTCCGCCGCCAGCTGGCCGTAGACGTCCGTCAGGAGAGCGGAGGGACCAGCCCCGACCCTGCAGCGCTCGGCCCCACCGAGGGTCAGGACGCGCATCGAGTCGCCGTCGGGCGATGCCTGCAGGAGCAGCGCTGGAAGCAGGTGCGCCGCATAGATCAAACCCCCCGCCAGCGCCGGGAGGTCGCACTGACCGAGATCATTCCAGCCGCAGGCCACGGCGCTGCCGTCGCTCCTGATCAGGGCCGTGTGGCGGCAACCAGCCGCAACCTGCGTTTAGGTCAGGCCCCCCGCCATCGCTGGGAGGTCGCACTGACCGTTCGCGATTCCAGCCGCAAACCACAGCGCTGCCGTCGCTCCTGATCAGGGCCGTGTGGCGCCAACCAACCGCAAACTGCGTGTAGGTCAGGCCCCACGGCAGATCCAGAAAATCCGCGAGGCCTCCCATAAGTCCATGTTTGTGGCATTCCCTGTCTTTCGACAACGCGAATCGGCCGGACCGCGAGCACCCTGGGCCTGGGCGTATGTCGGGCGTGTCCCCCTATACAATTGGATTTTGGGCGACAAATACCCCCCCCCCCCAAAAAAAAACCATACAAAATACTCCAAAGATGCCAAACACTAGTCAAAAAAACGCCCCCCGACTATTTTTTACATTTTGGAATATCCCCCTTTCAATTAGAGAGACACGCCCGACTGAAGCCTGGGCCCCCTTGGAGCCCACGGTGGCCGAGAGCTCTGTGCGAGGAGGCGCGCCCCCTTGCCCCCGAAGGAGCTCCGCGGGCGGCTGGGCCTCGGCGCGAGCCGCTCTGCCACCGCGCGGCTCCGCGGGGCAACGGGGCAGCGACGACGCGGAGCCGAAGGCGACGAGCAAAGCCAAGCCGACGAGCATATCGGCGCACTGCTTATCAAGGCAGTGTTCGGCGGCGAGCGAGGTGGAGAAGCGAGAAGGACGGCGCCTTCTCAGAGGAGGTGGTGGGGCTTCTCAGAAGCCCTCCAGTATTCTGGAGACCTTGCCGCGTCTAGGCCGGGGGACTTCCGAGCCCTCTGAGAATCGGAAGCCGGGCAAGAACTGCTAAATCGCTGGCTGCTAAAATCGACCTCCGGGAAGAAGCCCGTTGACTGTTTCGCGTGCCGCGCCTCATTCCGGGAAGGTGTTTTTTCCTTCCGTGAGGGCCGTTTTATCAGCCACGGTTTTAGCAGCCCTCGCCCAGCTTTCGAGAGAAGGCCTTTTCCCTCTCGCTTTCCCCCGCGAGCTGCCGTCGTTGTCGGCGCCGTCGTCGGCGTCGTCGTGGTCGTGGTGCGTGCTGCTCTGCTCGGGACTTCTTTCCCCTCATGCAGTGACCACCCAATTGGCTTGCCAGGCTTAAGTCGGGCGTGTCCCCCTACGGGGGGGGGTTGGGCGAAAAATAAAAAATGGAGAACAAACATACACCCAAATGAGCAAAAATAGTATAAACAAGACGTCCCCGTACGATGTTTTGACTATTTCTGAATATTCCCCCTGTAGAGGGACAGGCCCGATTTAATGCCAGGCATTGCACGCCGCCTGGCTGTCCGTGCGTCTGTGTGTCTGTCTTCCCGGCTTCCTGAGCCGCGGAGCTGCTTTGAGCTTCTTAATTAGCTCGGGGACGCGTCGGCGCCGAAACTCGCCCAGAGTCCAGCAAGGCGTGAGGGTGCAAGCCCGACTTGTCTCGCTGATGCTCCGGGGGGGGGGGCCTGTGCTCAGAGGAGGCTGCAGCACCGCGCAACCACGTGCTGTTCAACCGAACCTGAAGGTTGTGCCCTTTCCCAAATCCGTGCGTCGGTGCGGAGCGTCAGCGCGCCTCCTCTCCGTCGTCGTCGTCGGCGGCGTCGTGGTCGTGGTCGTGGTGCGTGTAGCTTTGCTCGGGACTCGTTTCCCTTTCTGCAGCGACAACCACCCACCACCCCTCACCTCCCCCCCGGGCTCGCCGCCGAGATTCTGCGGCGCACCAGGGCAGAACTGACGAGGAGCCGAGAGCGACCAGAAAGGCAGGCCGACGAGCAGAGCTGCGTGGCGTCTCCCGGACAGGGTGGGGGCCCGCCCCACTCGACGCGCGCCTCGCCCGCCCGCACCCGGGGCGGGGAAAGACTGGCGGCCGGGGCGCGACCTGAGCAGCGTGTCCCGCTTTCGGGCTCGTCCTCGTGCGCTCTCGTGCCGTCTTCGTTCCGCCTCTGCTGCCGGGCGAGATCCGCACGAGAGCGGTCTGCGCCATCGCCCCAAAAACTCGGGCTGCTGACGAAGCCTGCTGGGCACTTCGGGACACGCAGTGAACACGACCAGGGGCCACCTCTCCTCCAAGTTCCAGAATGCGCACGGGCCCCCGAGGGGCACGGTCAAGCTGCTCAGGGTGGATGTGCATGCCGCCCCCAAAGCACACCGATCACCTGGAAGAACAGGCCATCCGGGTTGGGCCAGGTAGGACGTACCTGCCCCATGCTGACAGACCGACGCTACCGCCAGTTCTACGAGTGCTAAGTCTTCAAGTTCAACCATTGGCACATGGTCGCACAGTGCGGCGAACCCCCACCTGCGCTTTGCGGAGCACCGCCGTGGACGTTTGGGCCGCCGGGCTGGGCGTGGCTTCCTGCCCGCTGGACTCCGGCAAGACAGAGAAAGCCTTGAAAACTTCTGAGCGCGCTTGTTTCGAACGTTCGGCCTCTGGGGGCCCTGGCCAGGCCCCGAGGCCGTCCACAGAACGGCTTCGGAGGAAAACCTGCCATGGGGAGACTGGGGGGGGGGCCGTACTGGCAAGATCAGGACATCGAATGTCTAGGGTAAGACGAAGCCGAGGCGAGGATTAAACATCGGGTGAACATACATCGAGAACCTCTGAAATCCCACGGCTCCAGAAAATGTCTCGGGCGCCGCGGCCTTCTCAGCCCGCTGTTCCACGCACTGCAGGCCCGACGACCCCAACCTGGCACTGGCCGAGCGCACTCCGAACGCAACCATGCACAGCACGTTCGTGTCGTGCCGACTTCGGCGTTGGTTTCTGACACCGCAGGGCTCGTTCAAACTAGACCTATCGACCGTTTCCGAATCGGCAGATCGTTCATCATTGACCGATTCTGGGTCGCCCGCGGCGACCAACGTTGAATGCCGGCGGCGATATCGCCGCCGGTCGATACGACACGAACCTATTGTACCCGCCAGTCGGAATAAGTAGTTAGACACATGAAGTAGGAAGGCGGATCAAAGAGGTAGGGCTCGGGCTCATCCGAAGCATAACAACGGAAGAAGCAAAGGCATACCGATTCTTGAAGCAGGAAGGCGCTTGAAACAACAAACATAAGGAAACCAAAAGGTCCCAATACCGCTACTCCCCGGACCTCTCCCAGTGTGCGTTGTGACTCAATTTTCGAAGCAAATCCAGCGGTGGCGACGAGGGCCTCTCTGGAGACCTGAAAAGGGGAAAGCGAGGCAATGGTAGCGGTAACGGTCGCGTTTCCTCCTCCGACATTGGGATCTGGGAATCCAAACAGACTACTCTCAACGACTGGCGTGCACCGTGATCGCAAGACGGTATGGGGCAGGAGGTGCCCGGAATGCTCAGCCGCGGCCTGCAGCGCGCGCCGAGGAGCGCGTTCCGTGCACGGCCGCCTCGAGAGGTGGCAGCCGAGGCTAAGTGGCTGGAGCCAATACGGCGACGGCGTCCTGATTCTCCAACTACTCCACATCCTCCTGCCCCTCCTCTGGCATCGTCCTCCCCCTCTCCGCTCCCCCTCCTTCCGAAACCTCTTCCTCCCTTCCAAGCATCCAACGCAGCGCTTCTTTCAAAAACGTGGCCCTTCAAAGGTCTGGACCCCTCCCAGGGACCGCCTTGCTATCCCGAGTCGTTTTTGGCGGTCCCAGTGCCCATTTGGTCCCCTGCATGCGAAAACAACCAAAAATCTTCCATCGCGATGTTTGCCATGACGCGTCGCCGGCGACGCCCTGGGCCCGCCACGGATCCTCCTTCTTCTCCTCCTCCTCCTCCTCCTCCTCCTCCTCCTCCTCCTCCTCCTCCTCCTCCTCCTCGACTCCTCCCCCTCCCCCTCCTCCTCCCCCTGCCCCTTCTTGCCCCCCCCCCACCTCATCCTTCCCCCCACTCCCCTCCCAGCAGCAGCGCGCGAGGAGAGAGACATGGAAGCGCCTGCCCTGCCGCTGGTAGCTCTTGACGTGGGCCGCACACGTGTCGCCCTCGTGGCCCACCATCCTCCCACGGTGGAGGGGTCTAGATGGGCGGAGGGTGAGAGGAGAAAGGGGCCGTCCCAGACGTCCGGCGTCGAGATTAGAGAAAGCGGAACGGGGCGCTTCCCAAACATCCAGCGTCGAGGGGTAAGAGGGTGGGTGGGTGAAAAGGAGAGAAGGATAATGATGCTTCCCAGACATCTGGCGCCGTGATTTTGTTCTCAACGCGGCTTCCCAGAGGGGAGGCGAGAGGAGAGAAGGGCTGTCCCAGAAATCTGGCGTTGGGCGTTCGCAAAAACGGGGGGGGATATACGGAGGGTGGTGAACACACATGAGCCTTTCCAATACCTTTTGGGCCCCCGGTTGCAGTTCAGCGGCCGTTTGGGGCCCCTCGAAGGCCACTCCCCTGCACCCCCCCCCCCTTTATTGCCCCCCCGCTACCGAGTCCCAAAGGGGGAGGGGGAGGGGGAGGAGGCGGAGGACGAGGAGGAGGAGGAGGAGGAGAGGAGGAGGAGGAGGAGGAGGAGGAGGAGGAGGAGGGAGGAGGAGGAGGAGGAGGGAGGAGGAGGAGGAGGAGGAGGAGGAGGAGGAGGAGGAGGAGGAGGAGGAGGAGGAGGGAGGAGGGGAGGAGGGGGAGGAAGCTTCCCAACCATCCGGCGCCACAGCTTTTTCACAGTGCGGCTCCCCAGAGGTCTGGACCCCTTCTCCCTGGGGGCCGGCGTCTCACCCCGAGCTGTTGTCTTCAGGGGCAGCCGACAGGGGGGGAGAGGCACAGAGGGGGAGGCATGGTCCCCGAATCGCCCACTGATCGCCGATAGGGGCGCGACAGCCACGAGTGAGCGTTCTCTGATTCGGCATTTCGACATTACGCGGAAGGGGGGGGAGGGGGGGATCTGGCTCTGGACCTCTGCTTAGTGCGACTGTCTGGAACAGTGCGTCCTATGGGGAAGGCTCTAGCTGCTCGAAACAAGCGACAAAAAACAGCCAAGATCCACTCCAGGGGGGGGAAGGGAGGGGTGCGAGGGCCCGCTCTGATCGGCAAAACAATGAATAAGAAAGCGATCACCAACCTGCCCAGTAGCGTACGGATTCATTACCTGAGGCGTATCGCCGATCTACTGGCGATGTATCGCCGATTCCAGGTGGATGTGTCCCCCCCCCCCTTGGCCAGTCCCCCCCCTATCGTTGCCCCTCATATTTGACTGTCTGGGGCCTCTCTGGGGGCAGACCGAAAAAGGCCGAAAGGAAAACCGTCCTGGCTACCCTCCCCCAGGAGGGTTCTCAGAATGCCTGGGGGGGGGCCCTGGGTCAAACAAAAAATGCATGAGATCCACGCCTCCGAAGCCACGATCTCTCGTAGATTACGCCGCAGTCGTGCCCCCGACACCACGATCCTTTTTAAGTTACTACAGATGTGCGTCCCCGAAGCCATACACCCCGTAAATTACACAATCTTTGCGTCCCCGAGGCGATAAGCCTTTGTAAACTATCCAATCTTCGCGTCCCCGAGGCCATACACCCGCGTAAATTACACAATACTCGCATCCCTGGGTGCGTACACCTGAATAAATCATGCAATACTTGCGGCCCCCGAGGCTGTGAGCCCTCGTGCATCATAAGAGTTGCGTCCCCGAGGCCAGCAGCGGAGCCACCGCTGGCGGCGGTGTTTCCCCACTTTCATGTGCCTAGTGGCCCTGTTGGCTTTTACTGAACACCCCGTTACACAATCGTCGCGCCCCCGAGGCCATAAACGTCTGCACATTACGCAGTGCTTGCGTCCCCGAAGCCATAAGCCCTCGTAAATTACACAATGTT